TCACATTACAACAACACCAGGACAGCCCGAGGCATGCCGTCCGAGGCGCTTAGCGCCAGACAAATTAAAAGCAGCAAAAGCAGAGTTCGATCTTCTTCTCCAAGAAGGAATAATCAGGCCCTCGAACAGTCCATGGGCAGCGCCATTGCACATGGTTCCGAAAAAGGGAGAAACGTGGAGACCATGCGGAGATTACCGTAGACTGAACTCAAGAACGGTACCGGACCGCTACCCTATTCCGCACATTGAAGATTTTACTCAAGCGTTATATGGAAAAGAGATATTTTCAACAATCGATCTGGTACGAGCATATAACCAAATTCCAATACACGCAGAGGATATACCCAAAACGGCAATAACAACACCGTTCGGATTATTCGAGTTCTTATACATGCCATTCGGACTACGAAACGCAGCNCAGACATTCCAGAGGTTTATCAACGAAGTCCTGCACGGGTTGAACTACTGTTATTCGTACATCGACGATATTCTGATAGCCTCCACATCAGAGGAAGAACACGAGAAGCATTTAAGAGAAGTCTTCGAACGATTAGACAGATACGGCATCAGAATTAATCCGGCCAAATGCGAATTTGGAAAGAAACAAATCAAGTTCCTAGGATACATGGTTTCCAGCGAAGGCACCAGACCCCTGCCAGACAAAGTGGAAGCAATTACGCAATTCCCTAGGCCAAACAATATAAAACAACTTCGACAGTTTCTGGGGATGCTCAATTTCTACCGAAGATTTGTACAAGGAGCAGCAAAAGAGCAAACCAGGCTCACCGACATATTAAAAGGTCCAAAGGTAAAAGGAAAGAGCCCAATACAATGGACGCCAGAGGCAGAGGAAGACTTTGCAAAGTGCAAGAAAAGCCTCTCGGAAGCCACATTACTAGCTCACCCTAATCCGACGGCGGAATGGACAGTAACCACGGACGCATCAGACACCGCTATAGGAGCAGTCATACAACAGCGAGTCGAATCAAGGTGGCAACCATTAGCCTTCATGAGCAAGAAGTTAACAAAAGCTCAACAGCGCTACAGCCCGTACGACCGAGAACTGTTGGCGATATACGTAACCATNAAACACTTCAGGCATATGCTCGAAGGACGTACCTTCTCCGTCTATACCGACCATAAACCATTGATCTACGCACTCAACCAAGACCCACTACGCAGTTCACCTCGCCAGGC